TGGAGAACATCTCCAATTCATTGGAACATCTCCAAAACAAACTTTTAACCCTGACTTTGGTAGGTCTATTTTATTGAAGAAAAGACTTTTGAGATATGGAGCATTCAAATGACTTAGCAAGCATTATTAAGCGGAAGACTGTGACTCAAACCCAGGCTGATCTTAGTCACTATTATATTGCCTCTTCAGCTTGTTTACAACATTTTCTGGGTGACTTAAGTGGAGAGCTTTGCATTGGCATGTGGTTCCCCCACTAATTGTTTGCATGAGGTTGAGTGATTGTCCTAGCCTTCTCACATGAGTCTAACCATTTTAATAAATCAATAATACATTACTGTTTTATTTGAATTACTTCTTTGGCCTCACAATTTATGGAAACAAAGATTCAGTTCAATTTAACAAGTGTTTCTTTAGTATCACTATGTGTAATTTTGGAAAAAGTCCAAATGAACACCATCAAATATTTCATTTCCTGAGAGGGAGTTAATTATGTTTAGAGCAACACCAGAGTTAATGAAGAAAACATACTTTAACTTCTCCACTTTTAAAATGAGAAGAACAATATTCTTAACTTTTGGATAATGTAAACTTAATGGATGATAGATACTACAATATTGTTTTAAATTGATATTTAAATCGGAGGCTCAATATGTGATTAATTTTCAAGTATCCTACAATATTTACACAAAGAATCTTCCAAAACTTGAATGATTTTGACCAAAAACTCATACCAATCCTAGAAATAAAAGCAAGGGGAAGTAAAATCTGTGTCTTTGTTAAGTATTTCTTTTCTATTATTGTCATATTTTAAATTAATTATATTGGCGAGAATTCAAGTCTGCCCCTAAAATATTCCAAATGCTTCTTGTTTTGACTTCTTTTTTAGTGCATATGTAGATCATATCTGAGTCCCTCTTGAGAAAGCAGCTCACCCTTCCGGCTCACCCTTCCAAGCCCTTTGACCGTGAGAGCCTTAAGTAGGATTTTCTTGTATCACTAATATTCAATTATGAGATGCCAAATCATAACCTCATCTCATATCTAACTACAATTAACAGGAAAACCATGAATCTAGAATCCTCTTCAAGCTAGGGTCACACAAAATTGCAGTGAAATTTAACAGCACTCCTACTTTACCTAGTACTGACCACTAGCTCTAGTTCTTTGTTTCACCATCAAGTCCTGTTTTTTGTTTTCATTATTGTAAATTATCTTGGCTTTTGAGTAGGTATTGCTTCCATTCCATAGCCACATGTTCTGTCTTCAAAATGATGTCTTGGTTCCACCTATTATGTTTCTGGCAATTTTTTTCCCCACTTCAGACACAGCTCACAGGTTAATCTTTAATTTATGGGACTCCTCAACTGGGTATGTAAGATCCTTTTTTCTTATTCACTAATCCTTTCTTTTCATACTCATTCTCTACAAACATTTGTGTTTGAAGTATGTCCTTCTCTCTGTATTAGTTCTTGTAAAAAATGTACATTTTTGTTTTGTATGTATACATTTAAAATTTTTATAAATCATGTCATAGGAAAAATCTTCTATTTCTCTTCTTCACTCAGCACTACATTTTAAAAAGTCTAGTCATATTTCTAAGTATATTTTTAGACTTGCATTAAACTGATGCCTGCTCAACGATCTATTTTATCCACCCACATCACAGAAATGGACATGCATTTTGCTCTCAACTCATCATTATTAATAATGCTGTGACAAACATTCTCTTATATCTTCCCTTAGGGGTGAGAATGCCTCTGGGATCCTATACCTACCAATGGAAATGCTAGGTCATAGGTAATATATGTGTCATTCAGTGTCCTCCTAGGAAAACAAATCACTCTAAGCAAGTCCTAGGGACTTTAATGCAGGAATTGGTTACAGAAGTGAGGGAAAAGCTGAGAGCCAAATAGGGACATGCAGTAACAAAGTATCCTACAAGATTATTAAAGATCACAAAAGAAAAAAGTATCTAAAATTTGCTTTCTTAGGTGAGTACTTACAGATGCAGTATCAGCAACAACCTTGAGCTGAGCTCTAAGGTCAGCTGGTAGCTGAGAACACAGAGAAACAAGAGGCTACCTAGAGATGGGGTATCTTGAAAACAAACAAACAAAATCAAATCATGGTCCAAGATTCCTATTATGAACAAAGTCTTTTCTAATAGGTTTGAATGGATGGGATCCTTACTCGGTCCATAGTCATTGTTACTGCAATATACTTACTTCTTTTGAATTTTAACCCTTGTCTTTTATTTAATTTTTTTTTATTTTTTAAAGATTTATTTATTTATGCACACAAGAGTTGGGGCACAGGCCAGAGATTTGGAGGATGAGAGAATTCACCAAAGAAAGAGTGGGGAACAGAACAGGCAGACTGACTGAAATACACTGCTGAGGGGAGCAGCAGGTGAAACAGGAGAGATCTGCAGCGCCATGTGGGTAGCTCTCTGGCCGGTCGGGATCAAACTCATGCTGCAGAGGCTGTGGATTGCTTCATAGCATGGTGCTTAACCCCTTGTGCCACCAGGGAAGCCCTTAATCCTTGTCTTTTAAATTACTTAGTTTCACTTGTCTCCCAAAGTTTGGAGACATCAAAATTTCCAAATACATGTAATTCAAGGACATAAACAATTGGGATTACAACCCTGTGACAATCAATCTTGAGTTAACAAGGAAAGATTATGCTACCTTATGGGTCCCCAAACCTTTGCCCCTATTCATCAGGAAGTAATTCTAGCAGATGAACCTTTGCCCACTGCCCATCAGGTTTCAAAAGTAGGATTTATACAGAGAAGGGAACTGTCACCAGCCTGGTAACTATAAGTTCCTCGGCCTTTCCCTGTTTATCTTCGCTCTGCTCCTATTTATCTTTTCTTTAGACAAAACTGGAAATCTAGACAATGCTGGCTGAATCCAAGATAGAAATAAAACTAAAACAAGGATTAATCACAGCCTCATTACCATCCTAAAAAGCATGCCCACCAACACCATGACAGGTCCAGTCAAGACCAAACTTAGAAGAAAAAGGGTCTTGAATGCAGTTCCCTGAAACCTATTCCTGGAAGCCTATTCCTCTGAAATCCTGCTAATGCCAACTCTTTAGTCTCCCCCCTTCTTCAGTACTCTCCCATATAAATCACTTCTCCCCAATTCAGAAAGATAACTTTTGAGACCATAGACCATGTCCTTAGGTTTCTGGTTCCTGATTAAACCTGATTTCATTCCACAAATTCTTGTCACTTGAATTTTAGCCTAAGAGCAGAGAGTAGCCAGACCCAGACCCTGGTAACACTACCACATCAAAAACTACAGGAATCCCTTCTAATAGGAGCCCAAGTCATCTGATGGAAGTTGGAATCACATTAGACTGCCTGGTAAGAGCTGAAAAGAAGGAAGAAATATAGATATTCCCTGGGGGTAGGAGGAAAGAAAGAGGAGAGAAAGAGAGAATACTGTCTCCTACCAGATATGGGGGGTCAAATTACAACATTGAGCAATTATAAACTTAAGAGGATGCAAAGGTGATGGAAATAGGTAATTTCTCACTAATTCATGCAACAAACACTAGAAACTACTTATCAAGATAATAAGAACCAAGTCTGTTTGATTCCCCAATGCATCCCCTGTACCAAGCATGGCCATTATAGACATTCATTGACTAAATACTGACTGTGTGCCAGGAATAGCTAGGAGCACCATGGATATGCTCCTTACTCTCAGTCTCAAGGAGAAAAACTACTTCAGTGTGATAAAGGTTGGAATTTGCAATCAAACAAACTAATATCACAGATAATAAAAACAACTATGTGGGTGCACCACATCTACAAATGGAAGAAAAATCTTACTGTCATACCAATAGGGGCAGAGAAAGCATTTGTTGATATTCAAGATCCATTTATGATAAAACCCCTCAAAATAGGGATATAACACATATTGCAACATTAAATAAAGGCCCTATATGACAAACCCACAGTTAACATCATGCTCAGTGGTGAAAGATTGAAAGCTTTTCCTCTAAGATCTGGTATAAGAAGAATGTCCATTCTCACCACTTCTACTCAACAAATATTGTAAGTCTTATTTATATAGAACAATTAAGCAAGAGAAAAGATACAAAAGGAATCCAAATGGCTTGGGGGAGGGGAGGAAACAGGGGCTCCCTGGGGCCGAGGGTTCAGGAGAGAAGGAGCCAGGGCCCCGAGCCAGGCAGCCCCAGGCAGCGCGGGCTACACAGTCTCCTAGCGACTCAAGCGTCTGCGAACTCTCCCTCGAGTACGCAGTCGCTGGGGAGCCAGCGGCAGGATGGCCGGCCGCAAGCAGCCTCTCCTGCCGGGGACTCTGGCCCAGGTGCCTATGGGCAAGAACTGCAGGCCCTGGTAAGCGCACAGCGTCGGGGCGAGGGCGCATCCAGTGAGCGCCTCGCTAGGGCGCCGAGACACGGAGATGCCTGGGGCTGGGGCCTGGGGGCCTGGGGCTGGGGCCCGCGGCAGAGAGGCTGACTGCAGCTGCAAGGTCCCGCTTGCCTTTTGCCCTGAAGGAAGGAGGCACCTGCAGGGTAAAAATATAAAATAGCCAGCCCTTGACACGCCCCATCGCCAAGGAACACTTATTTCAATTATCCTCAGCCCCCACCCGTCAACCCACAGCCGCAGGGAATGTAGATTCATGGACACGCGCCAGGTGGGAAACTATTGAGCAGAGTCCGCAGTGAGACTAGTTTAGCCTAAGACCCACCTTTCTCCAGGTTTTCTACTTGGGATCCTTGCATCTAGTGAGGCGTCTACTGTGACTTTTACGGAGATCACCCAACTGGTGAATGTGGACAAGCTGAGCGCCTTTGGGGGCAGATGCCTCGGGTACTGGAGTGGTCCGCTGCCACTTTACATGAACCCTTCGTCCCTACTTCCCCTCCTCAAGTGATGGAGGCTAACCCCCCTGGCAACTTCCTTTCCCACCCTAAGTCATGTGATCCATACGACCAGCCCTGTTTTCTTTCAGGTACGAAGAGAATCCATCATCCAAGTACTTCAAGCACAGGAACAGGCTGAAGCGGCCCTGCCCCCTGAACAGCCGGCGGTGGAGATTTGTGGAAAAGGGGCTGGATGACTTCAGGAACGGTTGCCTGTCTCACCGAGGTCTCATCATTAGGGGCCCTGAGGAGGGCTCTCTCCCCCAGATTCCTCACAGAGCTCCCCAATCTACCCCAAAGAAGGGGCAAAAGGCACCTGTGAAGGAAGCAACCCTGTTTCCCAAGCTCTCACAAGCCCAGCAGGCACGGAAAGCATTCCTGGAGGACGTGGAAGCCCAGCTGACCCGGCACCCCTTGGCTCTCTACCCGAATCTGGAAGAAGATATGCCTGCAGAGGTGATGTCCTGTGGGAGGGCCTTTAGTGGGACCTCACAAATAAGTCCTTTAGGGGCTTAGGGAGTTTCGTTGAAGGTGACATATTTATGAGGGCCAGAGGACTGTTAAACAAGTAACTTGGTTCAGTTGAAACAAGAAAAGGCTTTTATTTGGGGCTTTTGTCCTGCAGCTCAGAAGACACAGATCCAAGCAACCTTTGAATTGTTTCCAGTTGCAGGGACATGGAAGCGCTTATATACACAAAGAAAACGTGGGCTTCATCCAGCTCCGTTGTGCTATGCAAATCAAACCAGAAGTTAGCTAAGTTGCGATTGGTGCAGTATGTGCAGATTGGATGGGTGAAGCCAAGCAGGGGTGCTTGGCTGAGCCCCAGTCCTTGGTGGTCTGTGGTTGTCAGCTTGGTTTCAGTTTCTCACTGGAGGTGGTTGTTTATAGCCAAGCCTGACCAGTGTGGGCTGCAGGGTCCTGCCTCAGGGGCTTCCTGATGCTGTTTTGGTTTTATCCGGATGTCTCCATTTTGTCTTCTTACTTTTTAAATATTTCTGATTAGGATTAATGAATCCTAATCAGTATGAGAGTTCTTATGGGGGCTGGAACAGTTTCCTTTCTCTGCACCAAAGATACACAATGAGCTATAACATACAAGCAGCTTTCTTGCTTTCTGTGAGTCTGTTCAATCTACAAAGGTCAGCAAACCAGAAAACATTTGACTTTTTTTTTCCCTGAGGGTCTATCAGTCTACTTTGCTTGTGACATTTTTGGGGGGAGAAAGAAGTGGGGACAATTGTTCAGTCTTGATTCTGTCACTTTAGCATTGACTTAGGGGGTGTACATAAGCACTTACTAATGGGTGTGTGGGAGGTGGAGGAAAACCTGAATGGTCAAGGGGAAAATTCACCAGATTGTCAAGGCTAAGGCCAGGCAGCAGCCCTGTGGTATCGCCAATGTCCTCAGCCTCTTTTGCCTTTCAGCTCCATTAATCCCTTTATATATGTCTCTTATTCTTGTACCTCCAAATAACTTTCACACCTCCAGTCTCTTTCAAACAAGAAGCCAAGGGTTAAAAGTTAAAGGGTGCGTGTCAGCTGACTCTGCCTTTGAATTAGGCAAACAATAGCTTTTCCATCAATATCTAATTCATTTGACCTCTCTTAGCTTCTAGGGGTCTAGACAATTGAATTCCTTGGTTGGTCATTGCACCCTTGAACAAAATCCAGACCAAAATGCTGTTAGATTTAAGGCAAAGGGGCAGGACACTGTCATCCTGCCCTGTAGTCTATTCCCTACACAATGAGTGTGGCAGTTCACAAGCTAGACTCCTCTACTCATCCTACCTCATCCCTGCTCTACTCCGTATCCGTTCCACATCTCGGCTGGCACTCACTCTGCTGCTGACACCCTGGCCTCCCTGCTGCTCTCTGAACATTCACAAGCATGTCCAGTCCAGCTGTTCCTATGCCACAAGTACTTGCCCCGGATGTCCCCTTGGTTTACCCCAATACTCCCTTCAGAGCTTTGTCCAATGTCTCCTGATTGGGAAGGCCTATATAAAATAGCACATTCCTTCTATCTTCATTCTCAATCCCTTCCTACCATCTGTTTTTCATTATAGATATCACTTGACCACTGGGCTCCTAGAATAAAAGTTCTACAAGGGCAGAAACTTGGTGTCTTTCACTGTGAACCACCAATACTTAGTGTGTGATAGACATTAAACAAATATTTGTGAATAGTGAGTAAATGACAGTTGCAGAGAAGTCTATAGAGGACAACTAGAATTCCTAACCCATGGTTTTCCACTTGAGGCTTTCCTTTCCTGTCTCCTGTAGGCCAGCGCTCCTGAGTCCAGGACAAAGAGATGGTTCCACACATTCTTGAATGACACATGGTATCGTGATCCTTATTTCCATCTGACTTTCCCAACTAAGTGTGTTGGCTTCTTGCTAAGGCAGGATTTCTTCTTATGCTGCTTACCAGCAGCAATAATACCCAATTCAGGGCCTCCCCTGGTGGCACAGCGGTTGAGTGCTGGTTCGTTCCCTGGCCGCCGGCGAGGGTCCCACCCCCACACACACACACACAAAACCAAACCAATTCAAATAATACCCAGAATAAGAGCTTCCTTTTTTTTTTTTTTTTTTTTTTTTTATAAAGCAAAGCCATACAGCTTAATTCCCATAGGTCCATTTAGGCCTAAACCTGCCACTATGGCCCTGATTGACTTGGCGTGCTCCGCCTCTGGAAGGAGTGAGGCCAGAGTCTGGCCAGTTCAGACCATGAGAGCTGCCAGTGGAAGGAAGAGGATTCACCAAGGAAAAATCTAGCTATTACTATCCACAGGAAGAAGAATGCATGCTTGGCAGTCAACAACCACAGAAATCTTAGTGGCAATGTGCTCATAGGGGCAGTTGGGAGCCAGGGTGCATCCAGAGGCACTATTCTGTACCAGGGAAGTGTTACTTCACTGCAAAATTTGTCTACCTAATGTCCAGGCGATGGGAAGTTCCTCACAGCACTCAGCACAGAGTTTGCATAGGCACTGAATTGACCTACTGGAAAGGAAAAGCAATAGGGAGCGTTGGTCTGTTCTTAGAATCTAGAGATCTCCTCTTCAGTACATTTTCCTTCTCTCCAAGGGTTTTTTTTTTTTTTTCCTGTTTGTAGCTCTTATTAAAGGTGCTGGAAGTGCTGGATCCAGACAGGAAACTGGAGGACACATGGGCTTCTTGTCAGAGCACCAAGAAAATATTGAAGGAACCCACAAAACTTTTAAAAAAATGTCCTACCCAAGTCTACCTGGGACCGTAAGTATTACTCTTAACCCCTTGCTCATTCCTGTCACCTTATTAAACATTCTAGGAGGTACCTTCTCAAGTACCACTATGTTTAGAATAGAGAAGGAGGAATAACTAAGTTCCAATTTTTAAGGCCAGCATCTTCAAACTCTCTTAGCATTGTCTTCATATCACCTTCTCCTCTGTATATGTCCAATCTTTCTTTGCTTCTCTCTGACGATGACACTTGTGATGGTACTTGGAGCCCATGCAGATAATCCAGGATAATTCCCCCATCTCAACTTAACTTAAACACATCTGTGAATAAAATAACACTTGCAGGTTTCAAGGATTAGAACCTGATCTCTTTGGGGCTGTTACCAGATTACAAAAGCATGAGATTGTATCTCCCATCTTTAAAACTATTTCCCTTGACTACAGAGTCTCTCATTTCTTATAAAGCAAAACTCCTTGGAAGGAGACATACTTTCTCTTCTGTTCTTTCTTGAACTCTACTCTTTCTTGAACTCAATCTAGTTTGACATGACTAGATTTATATTTTGAAATGACCATTTTGGCTGCGGTGCAGAGAATGGCTTAGGGATTGGAGCTTGGGGGTCCTAAGAAAAGATGCAGAGACACCAGTGAGGAATCTTTTGCAGCAGTTCAGAGAAGGAGCTAGAATTAAAGTCTATCAGTCTTATTAATAGCTGGATTTTAGGGATAAAGGAGAGAGAAGTCAAGGATGTCTCCTACTTGTCAAGATTCTTCTGAGACTTTGACCAACTCTAAGCATGATAACTTGGGCTTTTATCTTAATAAATAACACTCATGATTTAAAAAAATCAGCTTATAGGGATAAAATCCTACATAAGTTTTAACCCCTATAACTAATCATGATATTCTTGTCTTTATAATATTAATAATAGGACTGTAGTCTTTGAAAAATTAAAATATAATATGTGAGTTTGTAGGAGACTATTAGAAATACTTATTTTTGATTTCATTTCTCCCAAGATACTGTTTGAAATCAACTTGGATTCATGGTGCTTCATATCGTAATTCTTTGATGATCTCATTATCTGTAGCCCCAAGAAGACTTCTGTGCCACATCCAGGACAATGGCTTTATAAAGAGAAAAAGACCAATGAAACAGATTTGCTCCATGAAAATGGTTCTCTGCTTCATAAAAATGTACGCCAAGTTGTTCATGACTTCTGCCACTGGGCCACTGACTTTGTAAGTTAGTAGTAATAGTTACAATTTACTTTGTAAAGTCAAGTTCAAAATTATTGTTTGGATATAATCTAAGTCAAGTAATCAAAGTCATGAAGGACTCTTTATGACTTCCCTACCATTTATAATGAGTGCTTGGTTGTGGGTATGGTGTGGTAACATATATCTGAAGAGGTGGGGTTCTGTATTTCTGAATCATATACAGTGTTATAAACCAATGTTACTTTACTATAAAAATTAAGAAATTATTTAAAATAAGATTGTTTTTCAGGAAAAAGAAGAGTCCTTAGAGATGAAATATTTAGAAAGTTTACAAATCTGCAGCCAATTGGAATGTTTATTATTTATAGCTCACATCATTAATGTTGCTTCATCTTTTTCAACTTTCAGCTACATTGAGATATTATTGATATGCACTATTGTGTAAGTTTAAGATGATTTCATATATGCATATTTTGCAAAATGATTTCCACATAAGGTAACTTAACACATCCATCACCTTACACAATTAGCTTATATGTGTATGTGGGGAAGTGGTGGCGATGAGAACATCTGAGCTCTTCTTTCTGCTACTTTCTAAGCAACTTGCATGTTAACTACAATCATCATGCACATTCTCCCCTGTCTGTGTGGGCTTCCTCTGGGTACTCAGGTTTCCTCCCAGGTTCATTGGTGTGTCTACATAGTCCCAGTCTGAGTGAGTGTGGCTGTGTGTGTGAGAGTACAATGTATTTTTTTTTAAGATTTATTTATTTATACAAGAATTGGGGTACAGGGCCTCCCCTGGTGGTGCAGTGGTTGAGCGCTGGGTTGTGAGGCTGCCCGCAGCCTCTGCAGCGCCAGTTCAATCCCCGGCCACTGGCGAGGGTCCCACAAAAAAAAAGAATTGGGGTAGAGGCCAGAAGTGTGGGAGGGTAAGAGGATTCACCAGAGATGGGGCAGAGAGCAGAACAGGCAGAGGGACTGAAAACACTGCTGAGGGGAGCAGCGGGCAAGACAGGAGAGGTCTGCCGTGCCATGTGGGTATCTCCCTAGCTGATGGGGAATCGAACCTGCACTGTAGAGGCTGTGGACAGCTTCACAGCACTGTGCTCAACCTGCTGCACCACTGAGGAGACCTGAGAGTTCAGTCTTTGATGGGAGGGCATCCAGCCGGCCTTGTCCCTGAGCTACAAGGATAGTCTCTAGCCACCCAAGACCCTGAACCAAAGTAAACAGGATGTAAAATGAATGAATGAATGAATACAAATGATTGTTGAATGTTGCACATATTTTGGTCTTTAACAAATTGCCATGGCAACTTGACTCTTACTTTTACCAACTAGCCTACCGTCAAATTGGTTGTTTTGCTTAAATTCACTGTTTCCAAGAACCTACTAATGCTGTTAAGCAAGTGACTTACTGAACCCCTAGGGACACCATCTCTATGAAGTATTGGAGAAGTTTGCTTTTGTAGAACAGACTGAATTTTCTTCAATCCCTTAGTTTCTATTGACTCACTATTTCGTGTAGGTCCTAAGCTGTCTCTTATGCACACTGATAAAGCTCCTCAGGCCTCAAATATTTCACGTCTCCAATGAATGGTGACTGAGCATTTACCTCTCCTTCAAACTATCTCTTCTCTAGCCATGGTGAAATACCATCCTTAGATTAAAAAAGAGACCATTTGTCCTTGACTCATGTGGTATGATATTCTTCCAGGGTTGTTTGAATATTGATGAGGAGTTTATCCTGAAACAGTTCAACATTGACTATCAGAGCAAAACAAGCTGTGATGTGCTCCGCACGATGAGACTGAACCAGGTTCCTCTGGAGCTAAAGAAGACTGTAGGGCTAAATAAACTGCAGGAGCCAGAGATTTTCCATAAACTACACTGTGAGCAGAAACTACAGGTAATTGCAAAAGGGGAAAAGATGGAAAATCAAAGGAAGTGAAATTGCATTAAAAGCTTAAATGTTCTTTAATTCTGGAACTCAGAGGCATTTGTCTTTTTAGTAGAATTCTTGAACTTTTTAAATATTTAATATTTGGAAAAATGAATGAATATTCAATACATATAACAGAGTCAGTTAAACAAACAAGATTTGTGTTTTATTATTATCATTTGATAATTTGTTTTTATTATTATCATTTGAATAGTCATTATTTTACTTCTATGTGTTTTATAGGTGAGATAATCTCTTTATGTGTTTTATATATGCAAGTTATAATGTGAATGTCTGTTATAAAAGTACTGCAATTAATGATTATGGAAGCTGTTTATTTTATATCCTAAGAATCCTGGAATTTTTCAGGAAGTCTACTCTACTTGAGTACATGTTATTCTTGATCACATGCTTGCCCGATCACTAACAAATCACTCAATTTTCTAGTACCAATTTCCTATGAAGATAGAAGAACAAAGTAACAGAAAGGAGAAATAATACATGCTATGTCCAAAGGAAGTTACTATGGGCCCTGAGGCACTTTTTTATACAATATGTCATTGCAAATATATATCCAAGTCAAATGTGCCAATTCAACAATAGATATAAGTGTTCGAGTTGGAGTTAGTGGGGAAGGATGTTTCTTTTTCTGAAAGTGAAAAACAGTATATTATCTCTGATTAGTTAGCCCTTGACAGCATGTGTCTGAACTTCAACATTTCACTTACTCGTGAATTTATTTCAGTCCCTTCTCCTCCCCTTCCTCTTCCCTCTCCTACTCAACATGAAGCTGATGAAGATGAAGATCTTTACGTTATTTGATATACTTTTCTTAGTAACGTTTGTTCTTCTCTAGCTTACTTTATTGTAAAAACACAGTATATAATACACACGGCATACAAAATAGGTGCTAATCGATCGTGCTTTGAGAATCAGCAAGCTATTTGTAGTTAAGTTTGGGGGGAATCAAGTTTTTGATTGTGGGAAAGTGGAGGGGGGAAGGCAGTAGATGCCTGTCATCCCCATATGGCTCAAGGATCAACTGTATTCTCTACCTTTTAAACAAATTCTTTGATGCTCTATTGCCTATATTTTGGACATATTAACTTTGTCCTTTAAAACTGAACATGTGGGGCCTCCCTGGTGGCGCAGGGGTTGAGCGCTGGGTTGCAAAGCTGCCCGCAGCTTCTGCAGCGCCAGTTCGATCCCTGGCTGCTCCCCGGCCACCAGGTGAGGGTCCCACATGGCGCGCAGACCTCTCCTGCCGCCCGCTGCTCCCCTCAGCAGTGTACTTCGGTCCTTCTGCCTGCTCTGCTCCCCGCTCTGGCTCTGGTGGATTCTCTCACCCTCCCGCACTTCTGACTGTACCCAGTGCTTGTATAAATAAATAAAATAAAAAATCTTTAAAAAAAAAAAAAAACTGAACATGTGGACTGACATATTTTACATACATGCCATTTTCAAACCTTGGAAAAAGTCAACAATGCAAAAATACTTCCACTCGGTTAACAGTACAACCAGCTCAGGGACTGCTGAGGGACACGGGAAGTAATTCACTATACTTCCCCCTTCTCTCTCTCCTTGCCTTATACCAATTTGTTTCTTTCAAGAGCGGGTTCATGGGTTCATGCTGTTGAAAAAATTATTATTAATATTACTATTTTTGTAAAGTGGAGTAAAGTATATCCTGATTGAAATATGTAATGATTCAGTTGAAGATGCTCAGAGATCAGACTTTTGAAAAAGGTTAACAGCTCATTAGCAGAGACCACAAATAGCTGGCAGAAAAAAATTCAGATGATTGCTGTCTGCTAAGTAGGTAAAAAGGATAAGCTGTTAAAAATGGGTGAAAAATCCTAGATATTGCTGTGACCTAGGTAACCAAAAGCAGAGAGGTGGGGTTGGGTGAAACCCATTTACCTAAGGAGTGAGCTCTTAAGTGGCACCAAGGTAGAGCTTGATTTCCAGGATTGCCCATGCCCAAGGGCAAACTCAGAAGGTCTCCTCTCATAGAATGGGAAGTGTTTCTTTGAATAGCCTTTTGCACACATCCACCTGTAGCTCTGGTAGGGTTGACAGCTTAGCAGGGCTGGGCTTTTTGTGCTGGTAGCAGTCTTGGGTTAATCTGATATCCTTAGCCATGAGTGATGTTCTGAATCCCCCCTGAAAGTTATTAGCTGAGGGACTCCTTCCATCACCCCAGGCACAGGAGCACTAGTGTCACTTGATCAACACCATCTGGAGCTCATACTTAGAATTTTAGCCTGTAGTTTTGGGTCAAGCCCTAACCTGACTCCAGGATTCATAACTTCAGTGGTTCCTAGCTAATAGCACGTTGTTACCGATCTTTACTGCCTGCCCAGCCACAACAGCTCCACAATACACCACATGGAGGCCATGCATGCCAGCAGTTCTTGGGTGGCAGCAAACTCATCTTCTATTCCTCCCACCACAAACATGAGGTTCCAAGACCAAGTAGCTCCCACTAGAACTGGAATCTATTAATAGTGAACATTTCTTCTTTTTTTTTTTTTTTTTGGAAATCTATTTGCTCCAGAATAATCTTCTATTGCATTCTGTCACACATTGTAATAATTCTATAACTTTGTTGGCTATATCTGCTGGGGAAGACGCTAAGCACTACCTCTTCATCTGCATCTTCCAACCTTTGCAAGCATCAGGGAACACATCAGAAATAACGAGCAGGTAGCCACATGCATCATGAGAGTTTTTGCCATTGGATTCTCCATGTTGTTTAGTCCAGTGAATCCAACTGGAGTCTTAGAAGCCATTGACCTACAACACACAACTACAAGGCTAATTGCTGCCAGGTTCAAGAACTGGAGACCAGAGGTGGTTCCTCTGAGCCATAAGGAGGCTGCCATGGTACCCCAGGTTTACCTTCCTGTGGTGAGCCCCCTGTTCTCTGCTCCCCCACTTACTTCAAGGGTGCAGTGTGGGGCAGGCCCAGGTGCACAGAGCACTTGTGCTCTGGTTCTCCCCTTTCAGCTTTTGTATGTCTGAAAATACCCTTATCAGCTTCCATTTTTAAAGATTTTTTGTGGGAATAGAATTCTAGGCTCACAGTTTTTTGTTTTTTGTTTTTTCATTACTTAAATATATTATTCCAGTGTCTTATTGGTTTGGTTGTTTCTGATGAGAAATCCTATGCTATCCTTTCTGTTTTCTGGATTGTTTTTTCTTGGATATTTCTAAGACTTTCCTTTTTTCCCCACTGGACTTGAGTAGTGTGATTATTGTACACCATGGTGTATCTCTCTTCATGCCTCTTGTGTTTGGGGTTTGTTGAACCTCTTTGACCATTATTTCTTCAAAATTTTTTGTTTCCTCTCAGTCCTCTCATAGGATTGCATGTCCTTATGTTGTGTAAGGCGTCTCATAGTTCACTGGTGCTCTGTGCAGCTTCTTGATTCTTTTTTCTCTCTGTGTAACTGCGGTGTCTTAAATTCACTAATTTTTCTCCTCCAGTATCTAATCAGCTATTAATATCATTCAGTGTTTTTTCTCATCTCATGAATTATAAATATTATATCAAGAAGTTTGACTTGGGTGTTTTAAAATATCTTTCATATCTCTAATTAGTAACCTTTTTAAATGTATTGCAGTTATAACAACTGCTTTCATGTTCTTGTTTATTAATTCTAACATCTTTATCCATTCTGTGTCAGTTTCCACTAATTGATTTCTCACCTCACCATGGATTATGTTTTCTTGCTTTTCAACATGTCTGGTGATATTTGAGTCAAAGCGAGATACTGAGAATATTCCTTTATTGGGGCTGGGTACTTTTGTACTCCTATAAACTTGAGTTATATTTTGGATATAAAATGACTTTGAAATGTTTGATCCTTTTGGGGATTGCTTTTTTTTTTAAAATAGAGGCATGTTTTGTTTATTTATTTATTTATTTATTTATTTGTTTGTTTTCATTTTTTTTATACATGCACTGGGTACAGTCAGAAGCACGGGAGGGCGAGAGAATTCACCAGAGCCAGAGCAGGGAGCAGAGCAGGCAGAAGGACCGAAGTACACTGCTGAGGGGAGCAGCGGGTGGCAGGAGAGGTCTGCGCACCATGTGGGACCCTCCTCTGGTGGCCGGGGAGCAGCCAGGGATCGAACCGGTGCCGCAGAGGCCGCAGGCAGCTTTGCAACCCAGTGCTCAACCGCTGCACCACCGGGGAGGCCCTTTTGGGGATTGCTTTTAAGATTTTTTGGGAAGCCCAAAGTAATGTTTAGTCTCAAGCTAATTCCCTACTATTGAGGCAAGACCCTTCTGTCTATGAATCTTTAGGTTTCCTGGACAAAATAGACACTCTCCTGGCCCTGGGTGCGTGCTGGCCATTGCTGCCTCGAATCTTTTTGGTTGGTTCTTTCCTTGTCCTTGAGTAGTCTCCTTCCTATGCTCTTTCCTTGTCCTTGAGACTCCTTGCCAACCTCTGGAGTTCCCTCTATGTACATCTCTCTCTGTTGCTCTGCTGCAAACTTTAGCTGCCTTGGTCTCCGTGGACTCTCAGGTCTGTCTCCTCAACTCAGAGTCCAATGGGCCCCTCCTGGCCTCCTCCCTGCACTGTGACCTGGACACTCAACACAGTGAGCTGGGACAATTGTGGGACTAATTTCATATGTTTCTTATCTCTCAGTGATCACTGTTCTTTGTTACTTGATGTCCAGTATTTTGCAAGCCATTGTTTCATATAATTCCCGCCCCACAACCCATTTTTTGACTTGCAGGTGGGAGGATAAATCTGGTCAGTGTTCTAGAAGTGAAAGTCCCCATCTTGATTTTTTTTTACATTGCCTGCTCTCAGATCTGCTACACTCTGCTCTTTTGTGTTCTTTAAAACTCTGAACTTTCCCACTATCTTTTCTTTCCTCATATTATTTTCTGTGCTTGAATTACCCCTTTTTCTACATGCCAATGTCTTCATTTAGACACAGGTCATATGCTAATTTTTCATGTACTTTTTGTAGGTCCATTGGTGAACATCAATTTATTCTTCTTTCTTATCTCTCACAGCAATCTGTGCCTCTAGTGTAGCATATCTCTCTTTGTCCTATATGTAAATCCACCCACTTATTTATGCTTTAATTCAATAATGTGTCTAACAATCTATTGCTATGTGCACAAAAGTACTAGAACAAATAAAGGAAAAATTAAGGGCTCTTTCCTGTACTTAAGGAACTTATAGTGTAGAAGGGTCATCAGGTAAATTATTACTAATTAAATGATGTCATAATTCATACAGGACATAGGAAAAAGTAATCAAAATCACCAAGCATGGGGTGTGGGTTCAGTTAAGGCTCCACAAAGAAGTTATGTTTGTGTTGAATCTTGAAAGATCACCAAGATAACAAAGATCCAACAACATAATATTCCAGATCAAATTCTTCAGCGTGGAAGTAGTATAGATACTATTCTCCTTCCTCCCTCTCTTTTTTCCTCTTTCCTTCCTCCCTTTAATTTCTTTCCTTTCCTTCCTTTCATTTAATTTAATTAAGTGGCTCTCAGTGGAGGATGATTCTGCCTCTCTCTCTCTCCTCTTCTGCCCAGGGATAATTTGGCAGTTTCTGGAGATCACATTTTCGGTTGTCACAAATTGGGTGGTGCTACTGCCAGCTAGTGGGCAGAGATAAGAAATGCCACAAACTATCCTAGAGTGAACAGTACAACCTCCCACCCCCACTACAGCCCAATAAAAAAAATTATCCAGCTCAAAATGTCCAAAAAACCTACTGTTCAAAGTTAAGAAATCCAATGTTAATTCAAAAAATTTTTCAAGCATCTATTATGTCTTAAGTATTGTTCTGCATGCCAGGTGGCTAGAGAGAGGAACAATTTTGGAGCTTACATTTTAGAGAATGAGAAGAGAGGGCCTCCCCTGATGGCGCAGTGGTTGAGCGCAGGGCTGCGAAGCTGCCCACAGCCTCTGCAGAGCCGCTTCAATCCTTGGCCACTGGCGAGGGTCCCACATGGCACGCAGACCTCTCCTGCCATGCCCGCTGCTCCCCTCAGCAGTGTATTTTGTCAGTCTGCCTGTTCTGTTCCCCGCTCTGGCTCTGGTGAATTCTCTCACCCTCCTGTGCTTCTGACTGTACCCAGTGCTTGTATAAATAAATAAATAAATAAATAAATCTTAAAAAAAAAACAGATTAGTAGAGAATGAGAAGAGAGACAATCAGAAAAGTATAGAGCCGATCAAATGGTGATATGTGCTATTAAGAAAAATGAGGAAGGGAAGGCAGACAAGATAAGTAAGTCATGTGGGTATCTTGGGGAGGAGCATTACACAGTGGAAAACGTGAGTTTCCCACTGTCTAATCTGCAAAGGCCCTGAGGCAGAAATGTGAAAGACGTGCTCCAGAAATAGCAAGGAGGGCAGTGTGCTTGGAATGGAGGTATCACAATGTTGAATCCAGCTCTTAGAAATGGTAGCCCTCCCCTCTGCTTCAGGTAGCCTTATATGACTTCACTCTAGACTGTCCCACACATTCTACCTCACAGTTTACATGTGAGGAGAGAGGGGGACAGAATCTTTGTGTTTCATGTTTCTTTATGCCATTCTAGAATTAAAACCCCATTTGTGATGGGACAATATCTGGGTGTTGTATCCACAGTGCTGAACAATGAAGCAACAAGAGGTTTACATCCTTGATGCTCCACTGAGGCATGGGATTAAGAAAGGAATGATATCTATTCTTCCTCCTCTTTTTCTCTCCCAATTAAGGAGGCAGGAGATGGCACTGGGTAACATTTTTATAAAAAGTAGTATAGCATTTACATGCTGTGCAGTACTAGACTCATAATAAGGCTAAGAGCTAATTTGGGTTGACTGTTATTTAAGGACATTATTCTTCAGCAAAATATATAATTTTTACATGATTTCTAGCAGCTTTACATCTATTCTCTCCTTTATCTTTCCAACAATCCTATGGGACAAATACTATTATCTCCATTTTACAGATGAAGAATTTATGTAACTTGTCTATGGGGAGGGGGGAGGTTTGGATTTGTACCAAGGTTTGTCTAAATCTAAATGCCACACTTGACTACCTCATTATTTTTGTAATCATGAACTTTTCCTGTCAGCTCTGTAAATCAAACCACAGTGATCCTTCATAAAATACAAAAAGGAGCAACTATAAATTCAAAATAAATGCTACTGCATTCACAGGATAAATCTTAGATTTATTGAAATGAAAAGCCAAAAAAAATAATGAATTTGGAAACTATGTTATTCTTCTCTAGAATCCCTATAAGCCAAAGTGGGTGAAAATGAGATATGGAGCTTGGTATCTGAACCCCAAGTTGTGGAAAAAGCAGAGAGCAGATGAACCCTTGGTTGACCCTAAGATCTCACAGAAAGCTCAAGATGAGAATTTTAAAAAGGAGCTGCAGGAGCAGGTTTGTGTATGTGCTGAAATTTTATCATCTGAAATAGATTATCATTTTGGAGTCAAAATCTCTGTAATAATAGAAGTCTCCCGAAAAAGTCTAACAACTCAAATATTGAATTTAGCAATGAGAAAACCAAGTCATTATATGAGGAATGTGTAATAAGTAAGACTTGAAATCCAGAGGCTCCTGGTAGAAGCAATGTATCTAAATAGGAGACAATCATTCATTGTTCTCCTGACATTTTTGAAACAATTGATTCCATGGATAAATTGGCTGTTCAAAGGTTGATGTGACTTCAGAGCTCAGAATCCATGTAATGTCATGGGTTCTTTTTGAACAACTAGTGTGAAGCTCTCGCACTCTCTCTCTTTTTTCTAATCAACAATGGATGAATGTTAAAAGCAATTCAAAATTGCATTCAGGGAACTTCTTTATACAATTTAGCAGAGTTGCAGAATCTATCTGAGAGAAGGGGGACAAAGGTTAAATAGCCCTATTTGTTATTGCAACTCCACAAACACCACAAGAATGTGCTCTAATTTTACTGCAAACAAACTCTGCCTGCTCATCTCTTATGTACAAACATCTAACGGAAAAAAGATACTCATCATAGTCATGGAAATTTGGAAATACTGACACAACACTTGCATAGCACTCTGATGAGAGTATTTGTGAACCTCATCCCTTTTTCAGTAGAGCCAAAACTTCTCCCAAATAATGTGGAAACACTTTGAAAATATAAAAATTTGGTTACTTATTCAGGAATCACTTAGCAATTACCTCCTTTAGATTGCAAAGCTGAGGCAGAAAAGCTATTTTTGTCTTTTCTAGAATTAGTTATGAAATTTTTATTTTCAGATGTGAGGCATGACAAATTTATGAGCACAAGATGCTTAAATGAGCCTCAAGATAATGTAAATAATGTTTAGCAGCATGTCTTGGTGCAGTGTTTTTGGAAATGACTAAGTTATATGAATTACTATTCTTGTTCCACTTTGAAGAAAAATGACAAAAGATTCTCAATGAATTAAATAGTTAAAAACAAAAATAGGAGTTTCTTTTAAGGTGTTTAGATGTTCTCTCTTCAGAAATGTATTCTAAAATCCTTGAAAACTTAATAACTTTACAAACATTTTCACAATGAAAACTAAGAAAGACATTGGCAATAGTCAGCTCATGAAAAAAATTCATATTTACATTTTAGAAATATGGTTGATAGGACTTAGTGTACAAGATTTTCAGGCAGTTTAGACACAGAAAGGATTCAAAATGAGGGGATTGTTTATAATGATTTTATCATTCACATTTTTGCAATACCCAAAGATTGACTCACCCTCTACACTTTAGGGGGTGGCACTTGGCTATGATGTCACAACTCACAAGGACTCCCAGACACGATGTTTTGCTGGCAAGGGACAGTCCCTGTGGTGACGTGGTTGTCCACGTGGCTGTCCTATTGGGAACACACGAGTCTGAATGTTTTTATTGAGCTTGTTTGTAAGGTGAAATAATCTTTCATGAATTATAAATGACATAAACTTCTACATCCAATTTTTACATTCAAATAAGTGAAAGGACAAACCAAAGCTACGCCGGAATTCCCCAAAGATGTTGGGACTGGATCAAGGCTTTTGGGATTATCACACCCTTTCAAGTTCAGATTTAAAAATTGTGGCTATATATGAGCAGGAAAACCTGCTTCTTCTTCTATTATTCTCAATTCTCACCAAATGTGTCAGGATTTTTACACCCCACCAAACTATTCTCTGATTCTCCAGACGCCCTGGGGTGGTCTAAAATTTAACTCAATCTGACACCATCTACCTGGAGATAAGGTAGGGATCCCACATAAGTTAAGGACTCAGTCCCACAAGACTGATGACCCTCCCACCCCTTTCACCCTCCTTACCCCCTTTCATCCCCTGCCTTCAAGTCCAGGTTGCCACTTGTGCTTCTTAGCAGCCAACTCTACATCAGAGGCTCCCACAAGCCCTCCTCATGTTAGTCACCTACTAGAAGAGCTAAATCAGGAAAAGAGCTTACTTATTTGATTGCTGATTATTATAAAAGGCACCGAGGAAAAGCCAGATGGGAGAGTTTATAGGGCAAAGTTTGTGGGAAGGAAAGTGGAGCTTTCCAGCCCTCCCCTGGTGCGATACTCTTCTTGTACCTCTGCACATTCACCTACCCAGAAACTCTTTAAACATAGTCCTTCAGGGTTTTTATGGAGCTTTCATTGCACAAGCATGAGTGATAAAGTATTGGTTGTTGGTGATTGATTCAACTTCCATCTGGTCTCCCCACCCCAGAGTCTGGGGGATGGGGCTGAATGTGCCAACCCTTTAATCAGGAGAGACAGGAGAGAAAGTTGGATCTTTTGCAAACATTTATGTTCAAACCATGAACACTCTTGACACACATATTCCCAAATAAGAAGGAGGTCGTTGAAAGTGAAGTGTTTTCCAAAGAGCTACCTGCTTTTCTAAAATTAGGGCAAATATGCAACCAAACTTTTGATGCTCACTCTTCTTGTAATGTGGATCTTTTTTTTAGGAGGAGTTACTTGCGGACCTTCATGGAACAGCTGCTTTTAAAGATTTCGTTCTATGCAGGGGCTACCGGATGCCGAATGTGAGTAAAGCATGGTTTCAGAAAAGCCAACGGAGGGACCCACCAGCCGTGATGGGAGGAGTCAGCACCCCAGCAAAGTAAAACACTTCCCTTACAGGCTTATGCCAGAACTCAGCTCACTGGAAGAAGGGCGTTCTTTTCCCTAAACAGGAGCCCAGAGGTGGGATTTGGCATTTTACTCTCTTTATTTTGCCTATTTGGTTTCTGCTGTGTCAGCGGTGTTATCTTCCTGCTGACTCACCTGCCTTGGTTTTGGCTTCAGTGACACCAAAGTGAAAGGGATCTACATGTAGGAGATGTGGCCTTCAAATTGCCTACTTTTAATTCTCGAGTGAGTTTTTGATTCTCTTTTATTTTCATACTTAAGGAAAAAAAATACCTGTGGTTTGGGTCAGGTTATGGAGCTGGGAGTTGGCATATTATAATGTGGGAAAGATCTACATTAGTATCTATTTTCCATAACTAAAGAAATCCAAAGGGATTTCATTTTTTAGGACAAAAGCTGAAGTGATAAAGTGCTATGGGGTGGGCCTCCAGGGCACACAGGCTAGGGCAAAAGATCATTTCTAGGAGAGTCCACCACTATTTTCTTTTTCCCACATTCTCTTTCCCCCTTTCTAGTTCCCACTCCCTTAACTTGCCCGCTGACCAGACTGTCCCCCATATGGAGTGGTCCCCTTAGAAGGCGAAAAGTAAGGAAGGTGGTGGGGAGATTGGCTGAGAGTTCCATGAGCAAGAGGGTCTGATGCCTGCATTGCTGTGTCCAGACCAGCCTAGTCAGTACAGCAGGGAGCCAACCAGGCGTGGAGCCAAAGGCCGAGCTAATAATAAGCCATGCACTTGTCCTGCGTCCACCCTGCATACATCTCTGGGCTGATGGAGGTGGTGCAGCCAGGGTGGTCACAAGTTCTGGAAAATGGGATACAGCTGTCTCTCACTTTTTGAAAAACCGTGTTACACCATTTTGTGTTTAGGAAAGACCTACATTAGTCCCTGGTTTCAATAACTAAAGAACTTTGAAGGGATTTCATTTTTACGTCAACGGCTGAAAAGTGAAACTAGTGTTCAGTGTTTGTTTTGCAGTGAGCAAGCAGAGGCAGTGCTAGAATCTCCCACATGCCCAACACCTCCTGGAGAAATACTGTATACAGGCCATGTATTTTGTCAATTCTGCTTGGAGTATTACTTTAGATTTTGGTGTAATTTGGCAGGTTAGTTTTTACATCTGGGATGTTCAACTTTTTTTAATATAAATTGATGGTAATTGCTTCTTCCTATTATGCAATTTTTGTTTTTCAAAAGTTTTCATAGGCATGCTCTACTTTCCACTTCCTATAGTGATAGAACTAACAGTAGTTTATACTTACTGGAAAATAAAGTTATTCTCCAAGTTCAGCTCCCGACTGGTTTCAAAGGCAATATGAGAACAAATGTGAAGTGTGTGGTAGAGGTGGAGTTAAAAGACTTCATTACATAACTGCAATGAAGTCACCTCCTTTAGCTTTAAGCATCAATAACAGGCCTGCCTGATGTATTTAATCTGTTTACACATATTTATATTTATGATAACTTATAACAACTGCCTAATCTGTATATAAGGCTCACATAACCATATTTCTTTATATTTATAATCTATAAAATATGTTTATATATTTTATATATGTAATTATGATTATATTTATTTTATGTAAATGTACTTAAGTATAAATGTAATTATGAAAGATGTATGTTTATAGATATGTACATAAACACACACATATATTGCTCTTGATGTTATAATGACCTAAAGTTCTATATTAACATACTTAGCAGCAAAACACTTAATTTTTTTTTTTCTGATTTGTCCTGTCTTAATTTAATCCACTCTATTGATGAACATTTATTTCAGTTCAGGCAAAAGGCAGCATGCCTGACACACTGACTATATTTTTTCAGTATTAACCTGGGCCTACAGCAATTCCTCTGAGAATATCTACCCACTCAAACCCTTGAATATTTCTCCCTTTATTGTTATATCCTATATCCTCTATTTTATCAATAAGATTTAAACTAAAAGAAAGGAGTGAAACTATTATAGTAAAGGACACACACTACTTAACTCTATGTATAAACATTTGTTCTCTTTACTCCCATAATGTCTGTGCACCCTGTGGATATACACATTCAGATATGTGATACAGACACACATACAGCATTTCAGCATCAGCTATTGGATTATCTGCTTGTGCATTGCCTCTAGCATTATTCCATCTGCTACACTGATGAGTCTCAGGCCTGTAATAGTGGAAGGAGACACCACACTATGCTGAGCTGGGCTGGACTGGGCTGGACTTGAGCACAGAACAAGTGTGAATTAGATCTAGGTGTTTCTGATGTTGTGCAGCGACCTTCTAAAGTTCAATATCTATTATTGTCTAATTACCAATATGAGATTTTGAGTATGACAAGGTGTAAGATTGTGAGTTTGATTATGCTAGTGGTTGTGGTCAGGACTACACATTTTTGTTTGTCAGTCTAATGAAGGTCTTTCTCTTTTTTTTTTTTTTTAGTTCCTTGAGAAGATAACTATCAGGAAGGATTGTAAAATGTGTAATAATATTCCTATAAAATAATTCAAGTATAGAAGAATCATGGAAATGATCAGACAGATTTTACTTCCTGTGTACTTGGCTAGTACTCTCTCATTTTAAATATTAAACAAAACTTATGATGAATGTCCCACTGTGGATGCCCAACTTTGACTTGGCAACATCTATGAGTTTCACATCTAATACTTACAAACATTTCACAATGTCCTTCTGTTTCAGTTAATCAATATTCTATATTTTTTACCAATTATGGGATCAGTAGTAACATATTGTCTTTTTACACTTTTATAGCATTGTCGATATTATATAATTATGTAAACTCTTTGTAAAAATAAATAAAACCATAAATATAAACAGAATTATTCTACTGAATTTCCCCCAGAGTATTATTTTTTCTGGTTTTAGGTATCTCTTTTGTTCTTTCTTTAGAATATAATTTTCATTCATTTTGAATTAAGTTTATACAGGCTTTTCTCCCTTTTTCAGGTATTTGAGTCTGGATTTTTTTTTTTAAGATTTATTTATTTATTTATACAAGAACCAGGGCACAGGCCAGATGCATGGGAGGGTGAGAGAATTCACCGGAGACAGAGCGTGAACAGAACAGGCAGACTGACGAAATACACTGCTGAGGGGAGCAGCGGGCAAGACAGGAGAGGTCTGCCATGCCATGTGAGACCCTCGCAGGATGGAATGGGTGCTGGAGAGGCTGCAGACAGCTTCACAGCGTGGTGCTCAACCAACTGTGCCACCAGGGGAGGCCCTGAGTCTTGATATTACATATGTACTCAGAGCATAAGGTCATAAAGTTTTTTGGAAACTCATGATGGCATTTTTAAATTTAATTTAAAAATTAAAAAAAAAGTTAATGCTCGTGTTAGGAAAATCAGAAAATACAGATTTTCATGTAGGAAAAAACCCAAAGATTTCAATAAAGTGTACATCCCTCAAGAAAAAGAAAAGAAAAATACAAAAAATTCTTTTAGAATCAGTAATAACCATTCTTTACTTATTAGAATGTATCTTTCTGGTCTTTCTCTGTGAAACCCCACTCTGAATAATTTAATCAAATGAATTTATGAAAATGATATTGAATACCAAAGTTTTATTAGTTGCTGCATCTGTCTTCAAATATGAAATATCTGGTTGGTGGCCTTTCATCCTCTGGTTGGGTCATGATTTCATTTCAATAATCTGTATGCAGAAATGACTACATTGCAATAGGTGCTTTAAATGAGTCTTGTCTTTACTGTCTATGAATAATAATCAGACACTTTAGGAGCCCTTGATAGAAGCACTGAGCCCCAAAGAGTGAACCCAGTGCTGTAAAACTAGTTTCTTAATAAGAATGAGTATATAGTAGAATTCTATGGTGGTAAATAAGCACTCACAGTAAGTCTATGAGTGTTGGTTTGGTAGATATTTAAACGGGAAAGCAATCTAGATCCAGAATAAGTTGCTGTTCTAGTATGGACACTTTTCCCAGACTCCCTTGATGTTTCAACTCCTCAAACATGTCCACATCTTTAGTAGTGTTCACAGGAACAATAAAAGGAGAGCTGTTGCTCCTGCAAGTCTGGAGGAAGAGGCATCCAGTTCTACAAGGCAAGCTGTGGCAAGACTTTGGCATTTAGTCCTGGGATCCTGACATTCAAGAGCTAAGCAGTAGGTGTTACAGGCAATGGTGGTCTGGAGACAATCTATTTCTTTTCCTGGTTGCATTGTTCCTGATTTTGTTACATTCAAACTTAATTCTTAACAGGGACTCAAATTTGGTTTTAATTGTGGGACAACTAAATTCAACAGAAGCAGACACTAGATCAGCCTAAATAAGGTGAAATCCGAGCTGCTTGCTGACATATAGCCTGCATTCCTACCTCCGTGACTACTTTGTTGGTGAGATCACTGGGTAATATTGGAGAACCTGGAGAAAGAAGCAGGCTGGCATGCAGTTGCCAGTCAACTTTTTCCCTGTTTGTTGAGTTATTCTTCTGCAGCAGAGGCCTTTTGGTGGGTATTCCCAAAGAACCAAGAACCCGCCTCCTCTGGATCCATTCTCAAGTTCCCCTGTATGGCTCTTCCCCCAACATACCAGTCACCAGTTCTACATGTTTAATCTTTCTAAGTCTCTGGCTGCTAAGCTAAACGGTTGACTACTGGCTATTAATTGGTGACATATGTACCTTAATACATTTTTCCTTTCAGACAAAGTGGTCCACAGGGTGAAGTGTTTAAAATTTTGCTCTGGGGCCTCCCCAGTGGCGCAGCGGTTGAGCGCTGGGTGTGAAGCTGCCCGCGGCCTCCGTGGCACGGGTTCGATCCCCGGCTGCTCCCCGGCCACTGGAGGAGGGTCCCACATGGCGCGCAGACCTCTCCTGCCGCCCGCTGCTCCCCTCAGCAGTGTACTTCGGTCCTTCTGCCTGCTCTGCTACCTGCTCTGGCTCTGGTGAATTCTCTCACCCTCCCGCGCTGCGCTTCTGACTGCACCCAGTGCATGTATAAACAAAAACAAACAAACAAACAAACAAATAAATAAATAAAACATGCCTCTATAAAAAAAATAATAAAATAAAATAAAATTTTGCTCTGCTGGAGAATTCCCCCTTTCAGTTGTTCTTCAGGCTACCCTTGAGTTTGGACTGCAATGTTATGCTGGTTCTCTTACAACTGGTGCCATCATTTTCTGCAGGTCTTTTGTTCAGTTTCCTGAATTTAGGAAACGCCCCAGGTCAGATTTGCAGGCCAAGAAAGAATGGTAGTATGGTAGAAGCAGACACACCATTTATTTTTTTAAGTCCTCAATTTCTGCTCAAGCCCAAGCTTATATAGAAATTTTCTGCTTCCTCCTGAGAAGCAATATGATTTTGCAATTAAACATGTGGACTTTGAAGCCTGAGCATTTAGGTTCAAACCAAGCTTTGCTACTTATTATTGATTTGACTACAGGACAAATTGTTTATTCCCTCTTTGCTTCATTTTTATCATCTATAAAATAAGGTTAATCACAATAATTACAGTATTATCTTCCAGAATTATGGAGACAATTAAAAGAAATATTACAAGAAATGTAGTTAGCATAGAGCCTGGCCCATACACTAAATATTAGCTGATTTCATGGCTTGGTGGATCAGATAACTCCCAGTTTGAGGTGAGCACCAGTCGCTTGGTTACCTAACATTTTGTGATTAGACTGCTGTATTTACCAGTGCCAAGTAACAAACCAAGTTTAGTTTCTCAAAGAGAAAACAGTTATATACCACGGAGTTCATGGCTCAACTTCAAACCCCAGGGAGCCTGTTTTCTAACTCTCTTTTCTGGACATGCCAAAACTCCATTTGACAGCCCTGTCTGCCACAGCTGCTCAAGAACACAGGATCTGCTGGATCAGATTCAGAGCTTCCTGGACCATTCTCACTTCTAGCTGTACTCAAAGTTTTTATAATCTCTCAGAGAGTTCACAGAGTAATTACCAAAGAAATGATTTGAAATAACACATATAATTCTGGCCTCCAAAATGCAAAGAAAAGTGTAAATATCATACCATTATATATTTTTCCAGCAACTAAATATAACAGATGTTGATAGTCTCAAGAACATACATACTAATAAAAAATTATTAATAACTAAGAATATTTGATATAATGAACTATATTTAATGTAAGCTTTAATAATGACTATCAGCCAGTTCACTAAATTCTTAAAAATATGACCATTGGCTTTTGTGAGCTGGTACAAACTGCCTTGAACACATCACTGATGGGAGGGTTCAATACAGGTAATAAGGGATGTGAGGGGTAAAGAATGAAAAGACTTGTCTTCCTCAACCTCCTACCTACTTCCACAAAGGTCATCATAGTCTTCATGCTCGGTGGGAAGAATCTCATCATACGGGGAGAAGAGACAAGGAAGTCTGCGTTAGCTTGGATCTGCCAAGAAGCAGATGGCAAAATGGAATTAGATGTTCAAGACGTTATTGGGGAACAGGAGAAGATAGGCAGAGCCTTTAGATTATGAGGCATGTGCGATCCCTATGGAAAGAGAGAGGGAAAGAAGGATTGGTATAGGAAAACTCTTAAACTCCGGCGCAATTCAAATAAAGGTTTGGCCAGGCCAATGGGGAATCTTCAAGTCAGAGTTGCCGAGAGGAAGAGTCTCACATCTTGCCAGAAAGGGTCTGCCTTGGTACTTCTGTGTGCTCAGTCACTGGCTGGGAGCATCCTAAGGGCGCATGGCCTCAACGTGCTAGTGGACAATCCGAGGGCCAACAGCTGGATCTCATATACTCCCTGCAATAGGAGATCTGCACAGAGTATTTCCATAGGGCAAGGAGTTAGGGGATTTTAGCCATTTGCATTTTCCCATATATTCACATTTCAGCATTCAGGCTTTTCATTCTTTCCCAATCACAGCTCTATTTCTCATGAGAGAACTGGCAAATCTGTAAATTTAAATGACATTTTGATTCAGCAAGTTAAAGATTATTCTCATTCCCAATTCAATAGTTGCAAGACATGTCATTCCTTCAGAAAATCCCAAGGAGTTCCTCATTTGGGGAGGGGAGGGGTGCATTTCTCTGTTAATGCAAAAAAAAAAAAAGGCCCATAAATTAATTGGATATGCCTCTCTTCAAAATGTGATGTCTAGTCACTTTCCTCTTGAGTTAGGCTGTACCTTAAGTTGATTTTAAGGAATAAATGCAGGAGTGATGAGGTATGACTTCTGAGACTAAATCATAAAAGACTAAATCATAAATTGTGGCTTCACTTGGATCATTTGCTCTGGGAGATACTAGCTGCTATGTTGTGAGGACTCCCAAACTGTGTCTGGGAAGGCCCGCGTGCACAGGACTAAAGCCTCTGCACCTGTACAGGACTAAAGCCTCTGCAAGGGTCCATGTGAGTGAGGTGACTCCTCCAGGCCCCATCAAGCTTTCAAATGAGAATGCAAACCCCTCTGACATCCCACTACAACATGAGAGACCCTG